GGCTGGGGAGGGGTAATATTAAAGGCAAGGCTTCGGCCGAAAGAGGAATCTTTTCTAACAGGCTTTTCTCCAGAGGCATATAAATGATTTAGGAACCTCTATCATTAATTTATTCAAAAAGGTCTTCAATTAAATTTTTCAGACTCACTTTATCGTTACGGCTGCATCATATTAATAGTGTTGATGACAAGAAGAAGCCATGTAAAGGGGTACTCTCATCTCACAATGAAAGGCCTAGGTGTGCCTAAGGGATACCTTATTTATCCTGTCCAAATTGTTAAAAAAAAAGGACGGTGAGAGTTAAGATGTCACAAAGGATCCTTTCCGAATAAAACGTCGATGAATACCAAATGATAGTGATTTTAAGCCGTTGATTAGGCTTATCCACTGAACCAAATTAAATGTCAGTCAAGAAGGAAAAAAAAGGAAAAAAGTTAATTTAAAATATACAAATTGTATCGACAAAGAAAAAAGCCAAAAAAAGCTACTAGTTATTCTAAACGCACGCATGTGCTTGAGTAACTTAGACTAAGCAAACTGTATATTTGTAACCAAATTTCTAACGTCTACAATAACATTTTTGACAATAAAAAAAGGATTCACACTTTAGTTTTAGTATAACATAGACTACGTAATAATTATTTAAATTTTGTCTGCGTTGATGATTGCGAAAGATACCTGACAAATTATAGCAAAGGCAAATAAGAGAGAAAAAAAATGAAACCTGAGGGCTTAAACTAAGTACACGTTAGTTGAATGTGTACTCTTAGCTGCCCAAATGTCTAGTGGGCTTCAAATTACAGGGAGGGTGAGGGCTTCATTAAGCCTGATTGACGCAAAAATGTGAAACGAAACGATACCGAATAAGTGGCTAGACAAACTAAAACTTTAAAGTTGTAAGAGGGCCCATTAACTTAAGGTGTGATTAACATAATAATATTGACGAATTTTGATAAGTTTCAGGCAAATTTTTGGCTCGATTAGAGGAGGTACATTTTTTGCGGCTCCCGGGATCGTTAAAATTTGCAATTAAAGCAAATTGTTTAGGTCATGTATGCTGGTTATAATTGAAATGAGCCCTTCAATACCTTTTAGTTTACACCTCTTTTGGAGAGGTTTATAGTTTTATTATCATTATCATTATCATTAGCATTTATTTAGCATTATTTATATCGCAGTATAAAACTTTGGAATGCTGTCCACATTATGAGTAGTATAGGGCGCATAACGTAACCTACGCCACTTGAAAAGCTATACTTGGAAGTAAAAAAAGGTCGGTACGAAACCTAATACAATCCTAATATACATAATGATATGAATCTCTCTACTTAAAAAGCCAATTTGGAGTATTATTAAATTCTTATACCCTGTAAAACCTACGCAAAGGCATGATGATGTAATTATCTCTACTAGAAGCCTATTTAGAAAATTATTTAGTTTTATACTTTCATCTCGTTTATACCTAAACAAGGCCATCATAATGTGGTTATCTCTAGTAAAAGCCTATTTAGAATAATATCAAACTCTAATACTCTATAAAATCTAAGTAAAAACATCAGCAAACTTGTGTTTCTGGATTTCTAGAGAAAAAAGGCTAAAAACTGGAGTCCTTAGCGCCCTAACTAAGTATTTATCTTAAAAGTTCTGGCAATGTTCAAAGTGTTTGAGATGACCGACTTCTGCATTAGCCTCCCACGCAGGCGTTTTTAGGGGAGCTCGTTTCATCATCATCATCATCAATCTTTATTTATACACGAAATCGTATCATTTTACATGGTCTTCCTAGGAATCGTGTTTAAAGCTAGACTAAAATACTCTAAAGAACTATTGACTATAATGTTAAAAATACAAAAACTTACATTATGAATAATAAGAGTTACAATGGGTCATGGTGTATTAGAAAAATCTTTCCCATAAACTGAAGTTTTAAAAACATTTAAACTAGGCAGTTTTCTAATCTCTGAGGGAATCTTGTTCCACAGAACAGATCCTCTGTAGTGTAGGCTCCCTTTTGCAGACTCAGTTCTGGGTCTGGGGACATAATAATTTAACTCAGAATTTCTAAGATTGTGTGAATGTACATTTGAGGTGTTGGTAAAGATCCGCCTCAGATACGATGGGGAAAGAGCTCCCCTAAAAACGCCTGCGTGGGAGGCTACTTCTGCATCCGCTCAAGTACGCTCCGTGCCCTGGCTCCAAGTAGCTTCCTCACCGACTTCTCTAGGCGCTTAGAGTAACCACCAAGTACGTCGTTTATTATTATTATTATTATTATTATTATTATTGGTATTATTATACACTGGCTGATAAATTACCCTTGGAGCAAGTAACAACACGTTCCTAGAGGTCCAAACGGAGTCCCTAAATAGACAAAACTTTCCGCAATGTTCTAGCTGTTCCCAACAGAGCAGCTTTCTGGATCACTTCAAGTCTGGTGGTAACGCCGTAAGTTATCTAATCTTTTTTGCGAATTTTCTGGGTTTTTTTTTTTTGCTTTTGTTTTTTTTCTTTCCAATGATTTTACTACAAAAATGAGAGAGAAACAAATGACAACAACTATGGTTTAGCAATCGGACTTTAACGAAAAAAACCGGATGAGAAGATCAACGTAACATAAATTTTGTCTTTGGAATATAGTGCAACCATTCTCTACTCTCCACTCCCCAATCCCTTGCTGGGAAATTATAAAATGGTGGTTGCCTTTGACCAGAAAAAGAAGATTTTTTTATTTAATTTAATTTTTTTTTTGGAGTGGAATAATGGAATTACGAAACTTTTCAAATAGGACTAAAGGGATAATGAGTACCACATTATTCCCCCTCACCCTCGAAATGTTCAATTATTTTGTCGTGCATCAGTATTTGCTTTTGAAGACTTTTTAAAAACCGCAAAAATTAACCCATTGAAGCTTTTTTTTTCAATGCTTTGCATCGTGAAGGTGCAATATCACAAGGAAAGATTTTCTCACCAAAGCTGCCGATATTTAGGATTTTTGAAAGAGCTTTTACCGTTCATTTTTAGCCAATTTACGGCTAGGGCTACGAAAATAAAGGTACTTATAAATTTAGAGTGAACGTTTCTACCCCTTTTTGCTTCTTATTTGCTTGTTTGCTCTCAGTAATGGATTGCGTTTGGGTGTTTTCGTCATCGCATCCGGCAATGACAGGTGGCGTGATAGACCAGCCGCTACACCCCCTTGATAATTGTGGTTTTAATAAAAGGCTCTATTTAAAGTACATATTACCTTGGACTCACGCAATCGACAAATGCGGTAGAAACGTGTTTGAATAAGAACTGTTCATTATTAACTCAATCCAGAAAGGCGCGCGAGCATCAGATTGTCAAGCAAGCAAGCAGTCGACGCTCATTTTCAGATTTCGTCTATATATCACGTAAGACCTTTTATATGATTTCTTACTTCATTATCCTCTTGTCAGGGGCACCCAATGGATCTGTTCCTCAAAATATCTGTTCTTCAGGCACATTTTTGCTGGCTGGGAGATGTGGAAGAAATAATAGTCCTTGAAAGGAAAGTGTTGCTGGGAAAAAGATATTTCAGGGTCTCAGAGGGGATTTGAAGTCTAGAATAGCTGCTACGGGTTACATGTATGGGCTACTTACCACTCAAGATCTGAATTGTACCCTATGAAACTTCCCAGTAAGTCAGGGTGCAGGTTGTAAGGTTGCTGGCTGGGAACTCTTCCATCAGTCTTGCTGGGAGTGAGGAACAGATAATCTTTTTCCAGCAATCTCCCAAAATGCTTAAAATAGTCTCAGAAAACTTTATTCACGCTTTGTTGTCGTTTTTAGGTCTTTTACTCAAAATTTCCTGTTGGGTGCCCCTGTCTTGTCACCCTATCGCAGCGAGCAAAAAATCTATATAAAATTTCGCAATTTACGGACAACGTGGTTATTAAAAGTTACGATTAAAAATCATTATTTCGCAATACCAGATCGATTCGATTCTATTATAAGCTAGACGCAAAACAGATTATTTGGGGCTTGAGAGTAGTTTGAGGGGCTAGTTAACCGTTTCTGTAACCTCTTATTTACTGGGATTTTCCTGAGAAAGAAAAAATTTCAGAATCCCTAGTTAATTGCCTCAATGCTGTTTCATTGAAGTATTACGGTAAACACTATTCCCTGATTTGCAACTCAGTCGAATCTCAGTAAAACAGTTTTAGCTGAGTTTTTATTTATACCTATACAAACCAAATAATTATTCATTGTATTTTAATTAGTACAGCGGCACCCAACGAGAATATAGTTCAAAACCACCTAAACATAGCATTGTTAAACGTATTTTAGTATTTTAACGGTAGATATAAGCATATTTTTATCCCCTAAAAAGTTTTCATCTGTTCGGATTTCCTAGCTGAAAGTCTAGTGATCCGAAAATTATAGGGATCAAAACTTACCTTTTCGAAAACTTCAGCTAGAAAAAAGGCTCCCGAAAATTCTAGGTGACCTTTTTAAGGAAAAAATCCGTTAAAAATGGCCAATTATACCATATTTTAGATGTTCGAAAATCCTAGGAGGGGAAGGCAGGCAAGAAATTTTACAAAAAATGTTCCGAAAATTCTAGATCCCAAATCGTCTTCCGAACAGATATTTTCCGAAAATTGACGTTGAGTGCCCCTGTTAGAATAACAACGTACAGTCACAGAAGCACTAATCAGTAAATGTTTCAGCCAGTACAGGGACATTTCATAGTGACAGTAGCCAAGGAAAGGAAGGAGCGCAAAAAGAAGTACTTAAAGCCTGCGATACTTATTTATTAAATGAAGGCACTAATATTGAGGATAATATAACAATATAGCGGTCTAATGTTTTGGCGTTGTACCAACTCATTTACTGATCATGAACAGAAACACTTGGAAGGTTGGCTATTAAAAAAAAAACATCTTTATTCACTGCTCTTCTTTTCTATCACACCTACTTATTTTGTTATTTTGAATTTTGTATTCCAAATCATTCCAGGTACTTCTAGTGGCCGAGCCATGCTGTTGTGTATTTACTTGGTTCTTTTTTACTTTCGTAATGCGGAATCCCAGTGCACCTCAATGGAAAGACAACATACAGGTAACACGCTTGCTGTACTTGCCGTGGATCTCAGTATGGACTCTTTTTGTGTCTTTTTTGTTCTTTCTGTCTTTAAGAAAATGTATCTTATTTAGTCTCGTTGAAGGAAATTAAGAAAAAGTTTGGGATTCGAAGTCCCTGACGCCCGCCCAATTTTTTGGCAATATACAAGTTAGAGAAGTTTTTGACCTTTTATGACCTTTCTACCTTCAAGTAGTTATATCTCGTGAAGAAAGGAGTTAGAACATAGGCAGGATCCTGTGGGACTGCCTTCTGTAGCTGCCTTTAATGGCTTTATTGATGAGAGCTTCCCGACACATCGACCAATGATTGAAAAGTTAGTGTATAATTTTATCACCACTCTTTAGTCTTTAATGGCCTGATTCGTAAAAATCAATTAATATACTTTTTAATACTGATGCTCACAAAGGCCCTCACCCTGGTTCGCAAACAATGTATATCTAAACCTATTTTAGTGAGTCCACATCGGTAAATGATTTTAAAGTATTGTACTAATTTTCTAAGACACCTATAGTTAACACTATGCTTTCTCTTTAATTTAACCCCTTACAGTTACTACCGCTCCTGCTCTTACCATCAACACCCTCCCGGAGGACCACGTGTTACCTATAGGGTCCAACGTAACAGTAACTTGTACCAGCAATACTTCGAGAGGGGGTTTTGGCGACTCAAAATACCACATGCCATATTTGATCCAAATCCATTTCGTCAATAAAAGTTCGGATATTAGGATAAAAAACTGCGGTGGTCGAAGAAGCGACAGGGAGAAAAGCAAAGTTTGCAGCTATGTCATTCACAATTCATCAAGGAGCGACTCTGGTAATTACTCCTGTTGGACTAAAAATTCTTGGACTTGCACAATGGGGTCTATTCAGCTATATTTCAAAGGTAATATTGACATTTAGAGTGCATGTTGAATTTTTTGCTCTATGTACTACCACAATAAGTTTACGTGATTTCTACGAAAAAACTAAAAGAAAAAATTAATTGTGCGAAGGTTTGCAAGTTGAAACTAATTTACTGTAAAGGCTGATCAGTCGATGTGATCCAACGTCACAAACTGACTCAATTGCCATTAATTCCATTCAAGGCAGGAGTTCACCGTTTATATTATCCTTTTTTTCGGCTGATATCAAATTTAAATTTTTGTTCTAAAATTTCTCCCTTTTTATTGTTTGTTATTTTCCATTTTTTTTAAATTTTATTTTTACAGAAAAAATTCCTCCAGTTTTCACTGTGAACCCTCCAGTACAAATGTTAATTTCTTCTGGTGGAAAAGCCAGCATGACTTGTAAGGCATCAGGTTTCCCAATCCCTCTAATTACATGGTTCAAGGATTGGATTCCTGTACCAAGGGCAAACACCACTGGAGAAAAGGGACTCTCGATCTTAACTCTTGAATTCGTCAAAGCAGTTAACCAAGGAAAATACTGGTGCGAAGCAAACAACTCGGTTGGCTGGCAAAGATCACTCATTACAAAACTGATGTTGAGCCAAGGTATTAGTTGTCCTTCTTTTCATCGCTGCAAGTCAAGGAAGTGAATCCGCAGTTCGAAAAACCAGAATTTTATATGGCAAAGAGCTGCAAAAGTGTACATTTGCCATGGGTAGTTTTTTTGTTTGCATGTTTTTTTAATCATATAATACGTAATTTCTACAATATCTCAAGTCTAGGAGGTCGTCCACGATGGTGATAGAATGCCTCATACAGCCCACAAGGCATGCAACTCCTTACCAGTGGTAAGGAGTTCCCTTGGTTACTGTAATCGACCATTCCAAAACGTCATAAATATTGGTCATCGTAAGACAGAAGACGTATTAAAGGTCTTATGTTTTTTAGTTCCTAAAGTACTCACAATTAGCTCATCTTAATAGTGGTTTATTATTACACAGTCTTTCGAAGACAATATTTCTTTCCTGTTTTTTCTCTTTAGTTTTATCTCAGTAACTCTAGAAATGGAACGAGGAATTAGTAGAGGGCTATGAACGTTGGTTGACATTTATTGTTCAGAGAAATCAGACGTGCCACCCAGTAAGACTAAGGGATAACTCATGAAGCGCTAGGTGGAACGTACTCCAGTGCTCCATCCAGTGCTGAATCCAGAAATCCATGCCTGCTCTCCGCTCGCCTCTTAGGCCCGGTTTAGACGCTGAACTTTTCATGAGCCGAACCTGATACATTGAATTAAGTACTTGTACATGAAAAGTTCGGCGTCTGAATCAATTAGGCCAGGAACGCTTGAGTCAATTTGGAACGGCTCAGTCGTTCTTTCGCCTAGCCCGGCCAGGAATTTCGCCTTTGGGGCGACTTTGAAACAGCTTTGATTCAGACGCAGAACTTAACTTTTCATGTACCGAACCTAACGCATAAATTATTATAACGTTTTTTTTTTTAAGCAGTTTGACCGAATTGAGCATTTTCACCTTTTGAATTTAGTTCAGCTGCAATTAAGATCGGCGTCTGAATCAATTCAGCCGTCTAAATAACTTGGGTCGGCCTTAATTCGAATTAGGTTCGGCTCACAAAAAGTTCGGCGTCTGACCCGGCCTTAGCGGTAAAATGCGTTCGTAAAGTTGATTTTCCTTCGTTATTTTATTTTCGTCCCTTATTTTTTCTGCAGTGCCTACAATTTCAATTCATCCGAAAAACGTGTTCGTGTCATTCAAAGAAAACATTACTTTAGTTTCCTTGGCGTGTAAGGCCACTGGTTCACCACCACCTGTGGTAACCTGGTTAAAGAATAACTCTACGTGGGCCAATGCGACGGTCATTGAAACTGATGGAATTTCCTGGCTCATTCTTGTTTTGGTAAAAAATGTCGAAAACGGCTCGAACAAATACAACTGCGTCGCAAGGAATATAGTGGGGAAAGTTTACTCTAATGAAGCGACTGTGATCAACACACAAACATCATTTCCAGGTAAGGTGGTAAGGTTAGCTTTACTAACAGCCACCACGGGTATTGTTGTTTTAGGAAAATACAGCTAACGACTCAAGCTCTACTGTTTATTGAGTTGAGTAGTACACCCAATATACTCAAATCAGGGCATGAATAGCTCTTTCAGCAGAACAGTAACAAGTTGTGGCTGGGAAGGCACCTGTGGAAAATAAAGTCGAAGCTCTCGTAAGCGCACCACCGAAAACGGGGCCTTAATTGTACTTAGAGCTGGTCGCCTACGAGAATGAGCTCTTGTAAGCTGTCGTAATCGTTCTCGGCTGATAACACCCTCCTCGTTCTCTATAATTCTTCATATGATACTCAGCCTTATCCAATAATATTGTAAAGTGTTATTATCATTATAATCATCATCATCATTGTATGTATGTAGGCCGGAGATCTGGTGGTTTCCAAAACTGGGAAATATAGGGTGCCTCCACATATAGCTCCTGAAGAACATGTCATATTGTCAGGGTAGATCGTCATATCACTCGAGGCGACTATGGCGGTACTCCCTATAATGGCCTATACGGGGATGCTCCGCCCGAAAACTTCAGGTATACGAAAGGGTCGAGAAATTTGTCATTTGTCTTTAAAAGGGCCCAAAGGGCTAACAGATTAATTTCATGGCTTTATATTTTTGAGATTGATTCCTATTTAAAAGACAGTGCATTTACAGCAGTTAAAAAGGATGCAATTCTAAACAAGGTATGTGAAAGGGGTACCATTTGTCGATAGTAGGTGTACGAAAGGGGTACCTATTTCGTGAAAAATGCCGTCAAAAAGGGTAAGGGTTTGTACCTAGGGGCGGAGCCTCCCGTATAAAAATTTGTTAAAATCCCCCACCACCCTCTCCGAGGGGATGCGACAAATAGAATTGAAACAATTTTTCCTCCAGAAGCTGAAAGCAATGTCATCTCTTTCTACCGTCACCCTGCAAGTCTCGCTGCATCTCCTGGTGATCACGTGATATTTACATGTGCTGTCGAAGGATCTCCAGCACCTTCCATTATTTGGCTGAAGGATGGTTTAAAAGTCGTTGATGATAAGGCCAAGAACTATCAGGGAAGGGAAAGCACAATCTCAGAATTGCACATTCTTGACGTTCAAGAACATCATGCTGGTAACTACGCCTGCAAGGCAGCAAACGCCATGGAGAGTGGTGTCTCCAGGAATGCATTGCTTTCCTTAACAGGAAAACCCGACTCTGCGAAAAGCAAGTTATATTAACTTTTTTTTTATTGTAAGGTTTCTTGATTTTGTGTAATCTAGTTGACAAGAGGGCATATGGAAGAATACAAGATGGTTTGTCCTGGTAGAGCGTCAGTTTTGCTATTAAAGTGATTACGAAGACTCCGGGGGAGAATGGAAATACTAATTAATTCTATTTTTTATCACTGTCAGTATAGTATTGACTCTCTGAACTGACTTGTATTAGGTGACTGTGAGAGGCTTATTGCTCGAGCACTTTAATCTTAATATTATAGAGAACTAGGGTTCTATTATAGATGCATGAATGCGGTCACCGAGGGAGAATAAAAGCACGGCTGGGGTGTTATGTCCCCCACTTTCCAAGTCGCGTCATCATTGGCGCGCTTCTCTGTCTATGATTTAGACTGCACATGGGAAGTAATTAATGGGAGAGGACTAGAGGTGAGATATCAGCAGTAAAGAGGTATCATGTCCACGTACTTCCATGTCATTTAACTTTCGTTTTCATTTCTATTTACTTCAGGAGACACCTCACCCTCACCAAGAGTTTCTTTGCTTCTCTGGATCTTAGTCGCCGCTGCTGCAGCATTGATTCTTGTGGTGGGAGGTTTGATATTTGTTATCCACGCGAAGCACAAAAAGGCCGGATTTAACGTCAGAAAAGAAGTAAGTATGAAACAACGACAACGATGTATACAGTTCATTTTTTTAAGCAGCATTCACACCCGCGAGTTTTTTCAAGTTTTTGCTTTGACATAAACATTGGTCTCCCCCACAAGGTGGAAGAGTAAAAGTTAAAAAATGCATAGTATTTAGGTAATGTGGCCCCCAGTCTAAGAAAATTAGTCAGTCCCAGCTTTCTTTTTTCTTTCGATTCCTTCCCTTTCCTCGACCGTGTGTATGTATGTAGCGAATTGTGTTTCGTTCGCTTTTTTTACTGACATAACTGTGAATTCTCGCCTAAATTTCATTGTCTCATCTTGGCCCGTACCCTTATTATCATCAGTCAAGCACTTACGGTCAAACAACAGAATTAGAACTGGTGTTTCACAACACCCTGTCCTAATAATCCAATCAGAATTTGTCCAGTCCTCACATCTAAACCATTGTTGTTTACAATGTCAAGAAGGCTTACGCATTAGCCAAGGGAGTCATTCTTAAAAATAAACAACTTACAAACAGATCTGGAGGCGTTAGACATCGTTCAGTGGAACAATTTTTAGATTCGATTTTGGTTTTTCGGAATATTAATAGGGGCTAAAAGGAACACTTAAAAAGATTTTAGATATTTCGAATATCACAGAGTCAAATCTCATATTTTTTTACTGCATGGAACACAGTTTGACACAACGTTTGAAAATCATCCATTGTGCGCCGTTCGACTTACAGACTAGCTATAGTTTCACCTTGTTAATAGTGCATAACTTACTTTAATCTAAATGCATGCTTATCGAAACTAAAAAACTGTTGCCACGTGCGAGCCAGTGAGAAGACAAATAGTGAAACAATACACAAATACAATTAGGTATCATAATTTTAAATAACCGGTTCTTAGACCACTTCTTTCCTTTAGTCTTGTCGTCTACCTCTCAAGCAGGCTTACCCGGATAATTCAGTTTAATTTGTGCATGAAAGGTGTGTACTAAAGCCGAATTTTTTTCCGTTCTTTCATTCAAGGAAGGTCAGAAAGAACAGCGATATTCAAACCTTTACATCAATAACTAGCAGCTTAGCAACACGGCAGAAGAATGGAGAATACTCCGGACAGAGCCTCGATGTACTCTCTTCCCGTAATTTATATAAAGTCAGCCATTAAACTGGGAGAATTAACCTTAAACACGAAATTTAATGTGGAACATCATGAAAAGCATAGATTGAGTTAGTCCGGTAGTGAGAAGCTTAAAAGGAAAGCAGCGCCTGCATGATGACAGCAGTGCTGAAGGAATGCTGAAGAACTGGAAGGCATGCTTGAAGAACGTTTTTGAGCTACGACGTCCCGGAAGTGGCCTTTTTCAGGCGGTGGTTTAAGTCAAATCGCCTCTTAATAGTAAAGTACGAAGAATCAAATTTTAAATTAAGGCATGTTAAGAGGAAAAACAATCTTCAAAAAGCCTGAGTACTTAAGTCAAATCTAACAATCTTAAATACGATTTTATAAATACGATTTTATTCATTTTTTTTTTTGTTCCACTTGCTTTTGCCCTTGCTTATAATAAAGAAGTCACCAATAAAAAAAGCAGTCATGAATAAGTCAAATATTCATGACGAAAAATCACGAAGTTGAGTCAGGGATGGTTTTTGTTTTGTTGCTAAGAACTGATATTTTCCAGTGTGTATAGTGCATTAAACAGACTCTTGGGCTCGGAGAGCCAGAAGACCTATATCAGACCCAAATCAGACTCTTGGCGGAAAAGCTTACTTAAAGCTCTAGCTGACGTGCGCCCCTTTCACAGCCGGGCTTAATATTCCGTCTGTAGATAATATATTTCTTTATTGCTTTATGGCTATGATGATCATTCCTCATCCGTTTGAATGAAAATAAAATAAAATAAAGTAAAGTAAAAAACAAACAAAGCACTAATGGCCAGTTATTAAAAACGACTTTGGCTGCATAAATCAAACGGCAATCTCAGTCATTTCCTGATTTGGTAAACCCCAATATCGAAAATCTGACTACTGTTAGCGGTGCCAAGTCATATAGGACAGTCAGAAGATAAACATTTATTTTATTTACTTCATATAATCACTTTAGAAACAGGTTTCATGGCCACAGCACTGTTATGTAATCCCTGGTCCTTGATTGACTGAATTCTCATTCAGGTAAAAATTTTCTTTTTATTGCCACGTACAACAATGACATACTCAGGGGCACCCAACGGCAATTTTCGGGAAAATATCTGTTCGGAAGACGATTTGAGAACTAGAATTTTCGGAACATTTGTTGTAAAATTTCTTGCTTGCCTACCCCTCCTAGGATTTTCGAACATGTACAAAATGGTATAATTACCCATTTTAAACGGATATTTACCCTAAAAAAGGCCACCTAGAATTTTCGGGAGCCTTTTCCTGGCTGAAATTTTCGTAAAGGTAAGTTTTGATCCCTATAGTTTTCGGATCACTAGACTTTCAGCTAGGAAATCCGAACAGATGAAAAGTTTTTAGGGGATAAAAATATGCCTATATCTACCGTTTAAATACTAAAATACGTTCAACAATGCTATGTTAAGTGGTTTTGAACTATATCCTCGTTGGGTGCCCCTGTATACTTTTTGTTTCCAAAAAGAGTCATTATGGCTCTTGTTAAGAATAAATTGTTCCCGGTTGACCAATTTTTGAACACGAGAATCAGCGTCTTGTACGTACGGATTTCTAAATTGATCACTGATATGGCTATTCTGTCGAAAATCAATGGAACAGGATTTAACTTACCAAATATGGATCAGGGATAAAGGATGTTTTCAAGGAATTGAAACCGGATCTATTTTAAAAATGAGCCGTAACATAGCTAAGTAAACAGGAACACTTTGCGGTCCAATTGGCAAGTAAAAAACATGACGCACGGTGCGAAGTTCAAAAAGCTTTCCGTTAAGTTTCTGAATAGAATATGCGTATGGGGGCGAGAGAGCACGAATCGGTGGCGCTAAATTGCGCCCCGAGCAACAGAAGGCTTCACTGCTTTTTCTTCTTCTTTTTCTTTTTCTTGTTTTTTTTTCCGCGACTTTCTTCTGTATAGTGTTATGACCAAATGAAGGCAACCAATAAATTTCCTCCGGTGGCGGGTGAATTAATTTTTAATTCTGCACCTAAGTACGAACAGCAGGTGCTCATTTTCCGTCAGAAAAGACTGCTGAAAAGAGGTCATCCATTTTTCCTTCGAGATTGTTTCAAAAATAAGGAGTTTTTATAAGCTTATAAATGTTAAAACTTTAATTCCTGGGTGACATAAAAGTCGAGGAGAATCGGTAAATACAAATATATGAGATAGTTGTAATGGTCAAAATTTACATCCGTTTTCTAGTCCCGAAGAATTTGGTGGATCAACCATTGTTCTTAATTTTATGTCGCTGGCATCATCAAATAGGAACGAGAGGCATTTCAAGGACTTAAAGCAAGGCATATAAAATGAATAAAACATAATCTTAGCTAAATATTGTGCCAGTAAAGTGGTCGAGTAGGGACGCTCGCATTCGTGTGACAGGGTTACTCGGATGCGATTACAGAAGAAAGAATATGTCACGGCATAAATATACGATGAAAGTGACCTTCCGTATATTCAAACAGCAAAACGACCGGAAATAATTAGAGTCTAAAGGAAGAAACATGTTGAAGGTAGGTTGGTATCAATGTCTTCGATCAAACCATTTGTCTCACTGTAGAATTTTGCATTTCACTAAACTAAATATTCCCTTTGCGCTATTTAAGTCTAAGAAATTTTCCTTGACAATCATAATCGTACGTTCATTGATGATTCAAGCAGTCAAGGAACTGAGGGTCGAAACATTTAACAGTAATTCTTATGACATATGAAATTCTGCAAACAGAATAACGCAATGTTGATCGTATAACGTGAAAATTAACTTTGCAAGACATCAACACGACACCGAAGAAACTCAAAACAGAGCGGGATTGTAGCCATGGACGGCTGTTTCACTGGTAATTCTTAATCTATGGTCGGCTTTCTCGATTCAAAACGAGGCTTTACTGTGACCCTTTTTCGGGTGAGACGTTTTTAAGTTATTTGATTCTTCACTTATCATAGATAATAACGACACTGTGTTCCGTATTAAAAGTGCAAAGTCAAGTTAGCATCATTATACAAAGTAGGAAGCTAGAATATTAGTCGGTAATGGATCTGAAATTAAATGGAAAATCCTTCCTCACTTTACGTATATTAGCTGTCTCAGTATATACGGTGGGCGTCGATTCTACGAGTTTCCCGGCCGAAAACGACGATCCACGTATGCTATTCACGCTAAGTACCGTGATTGCTTGATTTCAAAATTTGTTTGTTAATAATCGCGCACACGGAACTTTCTTGACCGCGCTTGATTAAGCTGGTACGTGACGTCACGGGGGCCATGTTGGTTGTGTTTTAGGGTTAAGAACAAAAGCATTTCTCTCCTCTGAGAACTAAACCCTCTTTTCATGTAAATTCTTGGAAAAAAAATTCAATTGTATTGACCACCAACACAACACCAACATGGCCGCCTTGTCACGTGGTTGCAAGCCAAGAATGAAACATATGAATATTCACGTGTGTTTTAACATGAGCTTGCATAATTTTAAAAGCATACTATAAAATCGCTCGTCTCAAAGGCTCTGAAAACTGCCTGAGAGTTTGAGAGTTCTTACAGTATTAGTGGGCTCCTCGAATTTGAACACAAGACTCGCCAACCAGTCACTGCAAATCAGGGATCTCATTCTTTCTAAGCCGGGGGGGAGAGAGAGGGAGAGGGTGGAGATGATGGCTATAAGTAAGTGCCGTGTCAGATGAAAAAGTAATTTTTAAATTTTATTCTTACTAATTATCCTTCGATAGGGCTATTCCGGTCCTTTGACCTTGCCATTTTTAAACTTAATTTTTTTGTTTTTTTGGCAACGTATATTCATATTAGCCTAAAAGTATGCAAAACTGAACAACCCACTTAATTATAAACAAAACTGATCAACGTACGACCAGTCCATACAACTCTGCATCGTCGGTTTTCCGTTGAATAAGACGTTACTTTTTGGGTTTCGGGTTCATTCTTTAATTCTATTTTTATCTTAAAACTAGTGGGAGTCTCTCTCGCGGTGGTAGCTCACTAGAATTACGTCATGCTAATTCCGCTCATTTTATCCCGCAGCGTTACGTCTAACCCAACCAGTGGTCTGCGCCTTATGTCAGCACCACGTAATCCGTGATCACTGATCATGAATTTGGTGAACGAGCAAGAGATAATCATGGTGAGTTCTCGACTCATGATCGTTTTTTTTTTATTATTATTTATTTTTATATTTTTGCAGTTCAAATTCAGGCATGATAAGACCACTAATGGCGTCACATGAGAAACAGATCTGGAGACATTTCTCGTGGAAGTATGATTAATAGCTGCAGTTCATTGAATTGCAAAATGGCCAGTCAGTCCCCTAAAGAGTTTTTCTTAACCTAAATTCATTATAATTCTTAATCCATCTTCGCAGTTAATAAGCGAACATCTATGTTTCCTTTCTTACTTCTTGATAGCCTACGTAAAACAATTCAAATGATTCTCTTCGGAATGTTCGCTTTACTACTCAGAGTTGCTTAATTCAATTAGTAGAGCAAGAAAAAGCTTTAGGCTATGTTCACATTATGCCGAATAGCTTTTGCTGCATAGAGCTTCTGGATTTCTGTGACGTAGCGAAGCTGCGTCACGCCGATCTCCAGAGTAAGAGTCATGTATCGGTTAACCCTTTAAACCCTAAGATCAAAATTTGAATTCTCATTTGTTGCCCCTATTCATTTCCTACAGAGGTAGTGGGGAGAAGTTAATAAAATATCAAGCAAATTCATCTTGTGTGATCATGTCCCTAATTCTCATGATCACTCTGTTTTACAAAGCATTGATATCACAAGGAGAATTTTGATGCTGATCACTCTCAGGGCTTAAAGGGTTAAGTGTTTCGTGATACTATACCGGATAGCTTTTCGAATTGGCACGACAAGTTCCCGGGGGGGTTCTTGGGTTAATTTTGGCTGGGTATGTGCCGCTGGCCTCTCAGAGCACCTACCCCATTATAGCCCATTCTGTGGCCAATTATAGACCCCATCTTAGTGACTTTTGGGCAAATATTTAATTTTCGCTATCCCAACTTAGTCACTTTCTATTTTTTTATGAATTGACCAGTTTTTGAGATTGAATGAAGCGTACTTTACTTTTTATGTACAGTACAAACATGGTACGTTTGCTAACCGTAATTATAAAGAACTGTAGTCAATCCGGTCGTGAAAATGTGAGTTCATCCAGCAACGCATCCCCATTAGCCTCTTTTAAGAAATTACCCCCCCGGGGAAAGTTATCCGGTATAGCGTGAACGTAACCTTGGTTACCCTCCAATAACTCTTCAAGCAAGTTGACCCCTTTTTTTTATTTTCAAATTCAAGAGAATAAGGGATGTTAAGGTATACAAGCGTCGTTATGACAAAAGGAATCCATTAGTCAGATAAGACCTTGTCGTCTTATTAATGTAACAACCCGCATTGACAGGTGGCCTGAGAGCGCTCCAGCTGCTCACGTTCTTGACACTACTGTTATTTATAGCCATTATTGGTCACAATAGGTATTATAATTATAATTTCCGTCGTACCCGTACGATCGAGAAAAGACTGTTAAAAAGCGCGCACTTAGCCTAAAATACTGAAGCTCATGCATGTTCGTATTGGAAGAGTTAACCGGCTTTGAGCGGGATGCCAACCTAAGCTGACTACTTGTGTTTGTGTACCTAAGGGTATCAGTCAGTTCTTATGTTTAAAAAGCTGTTTTTTTGTGTTGATTTTAGGTTTTTATTTTTCTTCGTAACGTAATTAGCCTCTAATACCATTAACTCTGACGCAGCAGTATTTAGTTAATGACAATCATAGCTATCAATAGTTACCAAGAAAACGACATTAATTCCTATTATGTTCTCTTGCAGTTACGTGCACAAAAAAATTCGAAAATGGAAAGAGATTGCGGAATACCCCTCAGTATTCAGAATGAGCGATTCAACCGATTTCTTTGATTTTTGGCATCCTTAATAAATACGTTGATAGAACTTTATTTCCTATCTGAAAGGGTATTCCTACCTCAAGCTTAAGAAACCTACGGCGAATAAAGTTAGCACTGCGAGAAGAACAACTTTGTGCTGAGTGCGCGGTGATATTAAAGAACTTCTATCCATCAAACTTACTTTCTATTTGTCCCTCTCTTTTCGAAATAAATCTTAACAAAACAAAATATACAGAATATAGCATCTACGAAAAACTCTCAAGAGTTTTAAGCGTCGTAGGAGATAGTATGTTGGCACTCTTCCTCTATTTTTGCGTCAACTTTTACAAATGTGTTAGCGTAGCATTTTAAGGTTATGATTTGACCAGCATTTTGTGCAGCGAGTTCTACGGTCACGATTGCCTTCAAACTTGCAGATTTAAAACTAGTAAGAGAGCTTTGAGGCTTATTTTTCTGAAGTTAGGGAAAAATCTGTCGTGGGATTTCGAACTTATTTACATTTTTCGTAAAAATGAGGTTTTAAATATATGCCGACATCTCAAAGGTTTTTATACCTTCAAGGAAAAAAAAACGCAAGTCAAACACATAACCAACACGCATATAAATAGGTTCACGCTACCTTAACCCTTTAAGCCCTAAGAGTGATCAGCGTCAAATTTCTCCTTGTAATATCACTGCTTTATAAAACACAGTGGTCATGAGGATTGAGGGCCTGATCACAGAAGATGAATCTAATTGATAATTCAACAAATTCTGCCCACTGTTTCTATTGAAAACATATAGGGACGACAAATGAGAATTTGAATTTTGATATTAGGGTTTAAAGAGTTAATTCTGAATAATTCTTTAGCCTCTGCCGAGAGCAAATCGTAACTTTTGTACTGGAATGAACTGATCATACAATTTTATTTTCCTTAGTATGAATTTACTGGTCTCCTTGTGTTGCAAACTCTTGTAAAAAAAAATAGTTTTGAAAACAGCTACCTGTTTTTTGGTGGTTTTGATCAGCAGTTCTTTTTGGTGTTGTTGTTGTTTTGCAAAACGGATTAACCTATAATATGTTTTTCTATTCTTCTTCTCTACGGCCCTGACGTTTAATTCAAACAGCCTTGCATCGCACTTATATAAGTATATATGGTTTCCCTTTTCATGAATAAAATGTCGGATGAAATCGATTGAGGAACACCTGTTTCATACGATAACTAAATTTGTTCAATCTTGCTCAGTGGCGTTCGTCGTATTAGCCTTGCAAATAGATCGATTATCTCGGCTACTTAGACGCTTTTCCGTTTTTCGTATTGAGCAAAAGTTGTTAGAGAAAAATGTTACCTCATCGCTCTGTATTCGAGGAAACACGGTATGTAACAACAAAAAAATGGTTGGGATTCAAAATTTTTTAAGCTTTCATTGATTCCCGACAAGAATAAATAAGAATGAAGTAAAATAAGTGTTTCACACTTCGACACACACGTAGGCACAAAACTAGACCTGCGCGTGTCTTGAAGGCCATCTACACTCTAATCATACATTGTTTAAATGCATTTGTACTAAAACCGGATGTAACTCCTGGCTGTCAGCCATCTTATTCAGGTTGGGGATTAGTTGTTGAATGAGAAAATGGTTGGTTATAAAGTCGGTTAAATAAAGATGCGTTCATTGTTGTTATATTTTTTTTTTTTCCAGTTGTTTTCAGGTCACACTAGTAAGGGAACGCGCTGTGTTAACATGCAGTTATTCATCTTCATTTGCCTAGCATATTTGCACCTCAGCGATACGTCGTGCATTCCAGTGGAAAACCTGAACGAAGGTATACTCGACCACTTGAAGTAGATTTACACCCTTATAGAGATGTATATATGTCCCTCGGCGCCCATGAACAAAAAGAGTGTAGACGTTCTTTTATACTGTGACATTGGTAAACGGGAACCTGTTAAATGGGAGAGTACGCAGAGCCGCAGTTATTTTTCTCCTGTCATTCTTTTCATAGGCTTGACCGTAGTAGGACTTGATTTATGGGGTATTTTATATTTCAGTCATTGAGGTCTAAATGTCTTTTTTTTTAGTTTATGACTCTATACTAGCCATGCCCAGGCTGTCAGTCGAGACGATCCTAATAGGAAACGCAAACTCAGACGCTAAAACTAACAACCTAATAATCGATCTGCTAAAACCAATAACTAAGGACGAGGATTTTTTCTTTAAAGGAAACAATATTTGCAATTCATTCATTGTCATTACTTAATATCACCATTGATAATGCGCAGGGCATATAAAAAAGGCAAGCTATCTACTAATCTCATGCATGTTCCTATGGAGCGTTGCTGCTGGATTGCAGAATTTAAGGAAAGAGCCTTTTCGTCACCAAATTCAGAGGATTCAATTTTGAAT